TTCGGTCATTTCACTCATCCATGTGCTCGCAAGGCTGTCAACGCCCGATCGTGACCTTCCTGTGAAGCATGAAGCGATCGAGTCACCTTCCAAAGCTTCGACTTCACGTCGTTGATTTGCTGCTCCTGACACTGACTCGCGTAGTCTTCCTCCCGAAGTAAGGCGGCTTCCGCGCGCGCATCTTTAAGGTTCAAGCGAAGACGATCATAGCGGACTTGAACGAAAGTCACGAATGGAGAGGCCAACTCATCAAAGAAACGGAGATCTTGCTCTAGCCTATCACCTTGGAGGGTTTGCTTCTCCATCGCTCGATCCTTATCGAAGTAGCGATCGACGAAGTCTTACTGAGACTTGGCTCGCTGATAAAGATCAGCGAGCATCTCAATCGCAGCCGCTTGATCAGATGTCGGCGGCGAGTCGACTCGAGTGGTCGGCTATGGAATCAATCCGGTGGGGCTGGGGTCCATGTGGCCGATCGTGATCAGAGGTTGCAAGAACGGCACTGAGGACATAACCGGAATGGTATCACTCGAAGTGCCAGGCGATGTTTTGATGGATGTCATCGTGGAGCCAACCGGGTGAGGTTACCGGTCAACAGCGACAGACAAGTCGGGCGAGGCACCACGGAGTGTGGACGATGTGGACGACGTGTACGACATAGTTAACGGTAAAACGAAAAATGACGACGAAAAACGTGCACAAGCCAGCCAAAAGTTGTGGATCAACTATTTGGGCTTGATGTGATTGTGGTAAAGCCGATCGATATCGGTTCTAAAAGCCGATTCAGCTCCGTACGAGGTAACATTGGCTGAAATGCTCGTGGGATGATAGCCAGTTGTTTGGATGTTACCGTTGAGAAAATCCAACGGGTTCAACCCCATCTTATTCGTGCGGTCCCGGGCTGTAAAATAAATAAAAGGATCGCGATCAGAGGACCGCGATCAAGGCACCGCGATTAGGGGACCGAGATTAAGGGACCGCGATGTGGCGTGGGCCATGTGATATAGAATGATGCAAATCCATTCGGCATAAAGAAGACACGTAGCGGTCAATACTGACATAAGAAGAAGGCGTGGATATGGCTTTGGGTTTTGGTGTGTTAGCACTAATGATAGTTTAAGTTGCTTTGGACACCAATGTGGCGGAGTGGGGCTCAATCTTTTTATGAGGAGATCCCGACTCCATTCTGGCGCCCAGAAAACCGACTAACGGAGCGGGTACTCCGATTCCGCCTGCGCTTGCTCCCTCATCACCTTGAGTACCCATCGGAAGAGCGGGTTGCACTCTTCTAGGTGGACTTGACTCGATGCTGAGCTTGACCGTTTTAGAGATTGGTGTCGATTGGGTGGACATTCCTCACCCGATCTCGTGCTCTTGGTTGGCGCTCTTCAAGAGTAGCCGCGATCAGCCTTGTTTGCCTTGTGCTAAAAACGGGGTACTTGAGTCGCGAGCCTTCTGACCACTTCAGCCGTCTCGCGACTTTTGAACTTCAACTAGTGAGGTTGCCTGCGTCCGATCGCAGTTGAGGTGTGTCGAGAGTCCTTGCACTCCTGGCCAAATAGATCCAGGAGTGATCTTCCTACCCTTGGAGTCAAAGTTCTCTGACGTCGGGAGGCCAAAACATCCAACCTGTAAGAATAACGAAACGTTTGTGTCTAGAAGCAATTGAACTCTCTTTAATCTTAACCAACATAAGCCCAAAACTATAACCACGCCTACTTCGTATGTCAGAATTGACCGCTAGGTGTCTTCGTTATGCTGAATGGATTTGCTATCCTTCTGTATCACGTGGCCCACGCCAGACCACGGTCCTCTGATAGCGGTTCACTGATCGCGGCCCTCTCATCACGTTTCTCTGAGTGCAGTCCTCTTTTCGCATTCCCTTGGATTTTCTACAGTCTGGGACCGTGCGGATTAGATGGCGATAAGCTCGATAGGTTCTCCTAACGGTAATATTCAAATAGCTAAATGTCATCCCACGAGCGATTCCGCCAAGTCCACCTCGTACTTAGCTGAATAGTTTAGGCTTTTGAAACCGATCTCGATCGGCTTTACCACAACTCAATGTCCGGTATTGGAGCATGCCTAGTGGGCATGGCAGATGCCAAATGTTCATGGAACTGTCCAATCAACGTAGAATCTAAGTCTTAGAAGGTCTAGATGTGCACGAAGTGCGTCTGGGTCCTTGCGCCATTATTAGATTCACGTGCTCGATTAACACCTTGAGCTTCTCAAGCGTGATCTGCTGGACTCAGAGAGGTTCATGGCGGTCTCCATCCTAGAAGAGTATTTAGCCTGTAAAGACGCAGGTATCGATTTTACTACAAGTGCTACCAAGTGTAGCGGAGCTTCTAAGCGTACTTAACAGAATAAGTCTTAGATTAGAAGAGCATTTTAGTTATAACAAACTAACAACAATGTACATTTCTTTGATCGTACAAACTAAACAATCACGGTCCCAAATGGATTACAATTCGCAGAATCCTGCACTAACTAGTTACTACTAGTTAGACAAGAGTAAGCACCTTTACAAGGCTAATGCTCTTAACAACACACTACGCTTGACTAGGCACTAGCGTCCAACGATTCAAAAGATGAACTGATCTTTTTTATTCTTTTACTACGGTAATAAAACTAGTAAACCTTGTCTGAGTTCTCCATAACAGGGTTTCACTCAATAAGGATAACGCTGTAAACACCTGCAGGACTGACTCTGATTAGGATCATGTGACAGAAGTCTTATATCTTATTCCTTACCGATAAGGTGCGGTAGTATCGTAAGTACATGGTATCGGTACTGTACCACTCAGATCCACCGATCTAAACTTGGTGTGGACACACAACATATCCGGTTTAACAAACGCCTAGCAACCCCATTACAGCGAAAGAGCTAAAATGGACCTGTTTGGATGTTTTTTTGCTCAGGAGGACCAATCGAATTGCTGTGATAATTTTTTAGGGAATCGCTAATTACCCTTTAAATTCGCTATTGAGCCTTCACGCCATACATAAATCAAGAACTAAAAGATGAAACCCCTTAAAAAGCCCGCTCCGGACAAACAGTTCATCGATATCATGCAACCTACTTTATTATGTCTCTGACCTTCCCTTTCACAGGCAAAACGAAAGGACTTAATAAAAGATTAAGAGATCTGTTTTTTTGTCAAGAACGCTTGCCACGCGCTTAACGAGCTGACACTGCCGGAAGGCTAAGGTAAACAAAAAGAATTTAAAGCAAGAATGATGAGGTTAAAGCAATCAATCTGCAATTCTCATGTAACGCTGTCCACAGAGGCGATTAGTTAAGTTGATTAAATTGTAGCGCTCACTTAGAATTAGAGAGAGAGCAGCATACAATGTGTTGATTGTGCTTTCACGAAATCCAACTTGCACAAAGATGTGGAAGTTGGTCTGAATACGTTGTGAACAATCAATGAGATGCCGTCGTCAAAGCTTTTGTGGTGCATTATCATTATTCGAGATGCCTGGCGTAAGGCAGGATGATCGTCACCTACCGTTCGGTGCGAGCCTACGTTTTAAGTTTTACACCGGTCTGAGGGGCTACTCTATGTGCTGGAGCTGTGGTGAGTACTGGGCAGTCTCAACTATGAAAAGACAGAATTAAAAGTAGCACATCGAGCAATTTAAAATTTAGGAGGTTTTAAAGCTACTTTTCTATTTGTGAATGGGAGGAAGGCACGTAAGCGAAAACGGAATGCTTCACTCGCGGCTCTCTTTTTTTGTCGAACTCTTGACTAAAAATGACCATGACATGTGTTGCTTTGTGTCCAAACAAATTACCCATTTGGAAGATGGAGTTGACACAAGTACAGCCTAGTATGCTTTTGTGTCAACTGCAAGTTTACTGAGTCATTTAGTCCTAAGATGTAGACCTCATCCATTTCTCGTCATCTACACTTTCTTGATCCTCACGCAATTGCTTAGTACCCCTACTTGTCATACAAATGGTAATACTGGGTGTCATCTCATAATTCGGTCACTCGTTGCTAAATCTGCTCGAGCCACTTACGCTACATCTTGTTTATACGCTTCCGCCGCGGACCAGTCATACAAGCATTGAGATGATCAGCCAGCCAGCTACCAGTACGACCGCGTTTTCATTCGGCGGCGCCGACGCCGATTGGATGATCAATAGAATCTCCCCGCGGGAGTTCAACCCGCTTTTGTCCACTATGGTCGTTTGCGCGCCATTGATGCGTGGGCCGCGGCAAGCGCTCTCAGTTTATTGTTGACGACCTCCCACGACATTTGCAGAACGCCATTGGATTTTGAGCAGCTTTAGATGAACTTCTTAGATGATCACCTTCACCCGAGTTTGTTGATTTCTTTTCTACTATACTCAGTCCTATAGATGTCTCGATATTTTCTTCCAAGTTTCGACGCAAGTTTATTTCTTATCAGTACACGAAGTACTCCTCACCTCTTCTTCTTAGACCGTGTCATTATCAAAGTACAAAGCTGCTGCATTTAAGGTCCAATCAGTGAGGCAACAAAAAGAGCGCACGGCGCAATGCGTGGAGTACTGGTCCATCCCTGGAGTACTGGCTGGAGTACTGGTCCATCCCTGGAGTACTGGCTGGAGTACTGGTCCATCCCTCGCCAAGCGACTAAAGCAGGATGCGCTAAAACCTCGAAAGCAATGCGATCGATCGAGGTTTTTAGCTGCCAGCAGTGCGACACAACTGTACTCGCACTGTGCTGATTGGATAAACTTGGTTTAATATACAGTCTCTCGCTCTCTCTCACGATCAAAGTCTCGACGGAGCAGATTCACTCATGTTTGTCCCTTTACAGAAACGGAACTAATAACCATGGGCGGCTCGTGCGCACCTTCGAATCAGGAAGAGATTTGACCGCCCAGGCCCCGGCATCAGAAGGCAATCAACTTCTGCTGTTTGGACGCCATTGTCCAATTTCCTTCGTTCCAAGCGCTCTTCGGCCTGGAATTCCTTGTCGTGCAAGTCCCACGCTACGTGCAAATGATTGCACGGTTCACTATCGTCCTAGTGGTGGTTTGTGTCTTGGCACTGACTCCATCACCCTCTACGGCCTGGTCCTTCATGTCCGTCTTCGGGGGTAAAAAGAAGGATAACAACACTACGAGTAGTGAATACTATCGACCCTTTGAGCAGCCTCTCTTAACAGCAACGGATTGGTTCCTTACCGAGCAGGAAATCACGGTGTCTCGAGGTGGTGTGCCTCGCTCGGACATGGTCACCTACAGTACTGGCAACGATGTGAAGACGTTCACAGTGACGAAAGAGTTTTTTGACTCGCTCTACGACGACCTGTCAGCGACCAAGGAAAAGGATCGCGTCCTGGTGACCGCGTACAACACGGATCTCATGCCTTTCAAGCCTGAGACGGACCCGCAAGGTCTTGTAAGCAACTTTGACGTTGTCTTTGGCAATGTCATTAAGCGAGGAGGGGATGTGAAGATCCTGTGCTGGGCGACCAAGTTTCCGTCGAAACAAGACATCATCGTGCGCAACAAGATCAACTCACTTCCGAAGTCTGGCCTCAACGATGGTAATGCACTGTTGATTTTCGACGACCGGCTCCCTATGGGCATCTCGTCACACCATCAAAAGACAGTCGTCATTGCTGCAAGTGTCTCTTCCGGACTTGAGGAGTTCCCGGTGGCATATGTCGGTGGTATCGATATCACTAACGACCGGTGGGACACCATCTATCATAACGAGTCAGCGCTCCGCGAAAAAGCCGGTATCAATCTTGACTACAAGGGATGGGTCGACAGCAGCTTGCGCATCCATGGGCCGGCTGCGAAAGATGTTGCAGCGAATTTCCTCGCTCGATGGAACTCGCTGTTCGTGCCGTGCCAAGATCTTGTCGACAACGTCGTGTCATTTAAAAACCCGCAGTACTCTTTTTTGCCAGCGCTGAACTACAGCAGTAGTAACACCACCTCGACGCTCGGAAATCAGAGTGTGCAGATTGTGCGAACATATAGCTGCACGTACAAGCATTACGAGTTTGCACCGTCTGGTGAGACATCACTGCTCCATGCACGCGTCAAGGCCATCAAGAATGCCAAGAACTTCATCTATGTCGAGGACCAGTACTTCATCTACGTGCCGGAGTTGCTGGAAGCCCTACTAGCGGTCATGCCAATCATTAAGCGTCTGATCGTCGTCGTTCAGCCCCCGGATCTCATGACAAAGAGCAGCGGATATGAGAAGTATATGTACAAGCTCGTTCAGCCTATTAAAGACAAATATCCTGACAAGATTCGCATGTACTCGATGAAGCCAGAGCTACACGTGTACGTGCACAGCAAGGTTGTAATCATCGATGACGTGTACTTGTCGGACGGCTCAGCCAACTGGAACAGCCGCAGCATGACTTCGGACGCCGAGCTTAACGCGAACATCGTCGACTCGAACACGGTCGATACTCCTGACGGTATTACGGTAGGCAAACTGGTTCGTGACTTTCGTGTACGCAAATTTCATGAGATGACGGGGCGGAGCTATGACGAGATCAACCAGATGAAATTTCTTGACAGCGCCGACCTGTTTGACGTGGCAGCCGCGGATAAGGGGTCTCTGATCAAGAAGTTCGACATTGGCAGGAAGATTTACTACAATTTCATCATCAAGGGCCTACACCAAGGGATTGATCCGTATGACCACTGCGTCTAGTTGGCCAAGCCTCGCACGGGCCAAAGTGGAATAGCCCCTGCGATTGCATTTTGCTGACACGTAGCTAATCGCGAAAGAGAGAGGGTTGATTTATCTGTTTTTTTAGGGGTAGCTCAACAAACAGTTGAATTTTAACGGCTTGCAATTTTTTAACCTATAATTGTTGACAGATACGTTTGCGCGTCTGATCTTCATCGTTCATAGCAAGGGGACGAGCAAAGACAAGGGGAAAGATCTGATTGAATTGTAGGTCAGTTCTGCACAGTCGGCTGATGTTCAAATCCATTGTCAATAACATATTGTACGCATTTGACCAGACCTTGACGTAGCTTTGATCTGGCCCACTTGAAATGTTAAATTTCCAGATTTGTGGATTGTTATCTGGATCGATACACACTATCCCGCAAGCAACGACCGTTACCTACCCGCCGTTTAAGGAGAAGTAGCGAGATTTGGCAATGAAGGCATACGTAAGAAGCTTTTAACCGACGAAGATCCATAGAAACACTGATCATTATATGTTGTTTTCACACGACACGCGTATGGATAGATGCTAAAGCTCGAGAGAGGCAAGTATGTCTTTATATCTCGTACTGATTGCGGGATATCTATTTTTTACTTAATAGGTAAGCCGATTTTCTTTAGAGTGATATAGTGGTTGCGTGGAGCTAATCGCCTTTTGCTTACTGATCTTTGAATTGTCCAGATTATATTGTTTTACCACAGAGCGCACATGGTATTTTCCTTCGT